TCTCCCGCGACCGTGCATGCACTTCTGTACGGCATGAGCGTCCTTGAGGACCTCCGCAGCTCTCTTCCACTGCGTGAGACACTTGCAGTGGATGCCACTTTCGCAAGACAGCACACACTCCGAGACTGCCATATCTAGGCATACGAGCCACTTCAACTTCTCTTGCGTAGTATAAGCGTAACGCTTATGCTGTGAAGGCTTGTCCCTAGGAGAGGGGGGGCGGGCATCACGGTTCTCAAAAGAAAGGTGGGGTCGTTTGTGGTTAATAGGCAGATAAGACGGTATCAGTAGTTTCTCAGGGAGGCCGTCGTGAGACCACTACTCAATGCTGTTGTCATCGTCGCCGCCCGGGGCACCCTCGGGAAACACATCGGCCACGGTGCTAGTCTCGCTGCCAGTCATGGTGCCAGCCTCGGCGCCTTTGTCGCGCTCAGCGTGCCACTCCTCGTTGGCGTCGGCCACATCGTCGTCAGCGCCCATAGCAGATTCGTCCCACGTGCAATCTTCATGCTGGCCCCAACGTGGTGTCGGCGCCGGAACTACTATGTACTCATCTGGGGCCTTGTTGCATTCAACGCAGATGGGAGAAGGAGCGTGAGCACGGATGATTGCCCGTGTAGTAAGGAGCTGGCGGATTCGGAGGAGCAGGAGAGCAGGAACCGCAGGAGGAGCAAGGGGCGCAGGAGGTGCAAGAGGCTGTGGTGGCTCTTGTGGGACATGGCTATACCAGCCGTCAGCGGTGACTCGAAAGGCGGGCCTAGGCTTTTTCTTGAACAGAAAGTGTGTGCCGGTAAATTCCGCCATGGCTTTTTCAGCCAAGCAGACAAAACATGGAAACTAAATAAAAAACTGCAAGAATGGGTGAAGAAATGAAGTTGGGAGGGGACCCTTTCGTGTTAGCGGCTCGGGGTCCTCGTCAATGAGAGACGGGTACCCCCCCTACAGAGGCGGGTTTGCGGCACCACACATGCTGAGCTGACAGGGGATATTCGACCCCCTTGTAGAGGGTTCGGATGAGATGCTCCTGCTTGGCAACGCATGACGATGTGATTGGGCCGCACGGCAGGTTTTGCGTCAGCGCTAGCAAGTGCGTTGCTCCGTGACGGGTTTTGTGTGGTGGGAAACTGAATCGCGATTGTTTTCGCCGGGGTTCCATGCACGATCCCACGTGAATGTTTCACGGATGTGTACGCCTTATTGAGGACTTCAATTTGGTACCTTCAAAAGCAATTTTCACTTTAACATTTTACACATGCATGAACTTATGCCCTTAAAAAAAAAAAAAAAAAACTTGTTTTTTTTTTTTTATAAACGCATGCGATGCGCTACAATCCGGGGCCAGACAGTATTTTAGTCTGATAAAGTCAGCCCTGACACACATGCACACATTAAAGAAAACCGTCTAAAAGCCCCGACCTTGAGATTTTCCTAGCTGTTGTTGATGGTAAATACCATCAACAATTCCAGCATGTGGTTTCAAAACACCACTCCCCATCATTGAGTGCAATGAACGTGTTGAAGTGCCCCCTATTAGTGGAGCGCAGCTTGTTCAGCATGGGGTGGTTCTAGCTGTAGATCGACGAGAAGGACCCGCCGTGGTGGTCGAGGGCGCGCTTTCTGGGTCCGCGGGCTCCTCTTCTGCCTCACCAAGTGCCGCATTGTCGCCACCGAGGCCGGGGATGCCATAATCCTCATCGGCATCATATGAGGCATTAGGGGATGCAATTTGGTAGAACCACCAGTCGGGGGGAGCGCCAGTGGGTGTGGCGGATGGCGCCTTGGTGGTATTACTAGGCCCAAGTGTGTCACGGACAAGGTGGGGGGGGCTAATATCGGTGGCGTCAGTTGGGGTGTGCTGTTGGTTGCTAGATTGGTCCATGATTGCGCTGTACATAGATGGCATGCGTAAGTGTAGGTCTTCTAGTGACATTTGTAGTGTTTGCGGGTATTCAGAATCGAGCTGTTTGATTGTGCATCTGTTCGAGTCGCATTATTTTGTAATTTGACAATGCGACACGGGGTTTGTTTGTTTGTTTGTTTTTTTTTTTTTTTTTTTTTTAGATTTCACGCGCCAATCCCGCGCTCGGAATTTCGGACGGTCCGAAAGGGTTTCGGACAGCCCGTTTCTGACATTTCGGACCGCTGAAATAAGTGTCACTACCATCCGGGTTTCTGGCGACGTCGCCAAATTACTAACGAACACCCTACGAAAACCTGGGGAAATGGGTATCCTATCGCAACCCAAGCGATCCACAATTCCGACCGTCCGCTTCAAAAAGTGGCAAAATGGATACACACCCTAAGCCGGTTCTAATTGGAGCCTAGCGTGCCGATGAGCCTGCTGACAGAAATTGTATTTCTAATGTAACTACATATTAGACTAGCTAGCATAGTGTTACATCAAACTTCTATTGTTGGTGGTATACCCCTCTTGGCCACCAATCCTTCCACCTATATCTTGTATCTCTCTCATATTGAAGCTCCCCTTTTGTTGGCTACCTTACTCTCTCTTCCCAAAACCATAAGGCTCCTAACCTACTATCTTGATATGCTACCAGAGCTGGTCCCGGTCTAGGACCTCTTTTCTCTTAAGGATCATCGGCCCGCCCATGCTGCAGCGCGAAATGCGTTATTTATTTTTCGTCGCATGTCGCGCTCTGTGCCTGTCGTGCTCGTCGCCCCGTGCTCTGCCCGTTCTGCCCTCGCGTCCCCCGCTCGTCGCGCCCATCGCGCCCGTCGCCCTGCCCGTCGTAAGCGCCAGCGCCAGCGCGGACCGCCAGCGCCAGCGCCAGCGCGGAACGCAAGCGCCAGCGCCAGCGCGGAGCGCCAGCGCCAGCACCTGCGACCAGCGCCAGCGCCAGCGCCAACGCCTACGCCAACGCCAGCGACAGCGTCGGTAGCAGCTACCCCCCCCCCCCCCCCCCCCCCCCCCCGCCCTCCCTTTTGCGGCTTCCGTCGTGGGGGGGGGAGGGGGAGATGTGGGGGTGGCGGGTGTGAACAGTCAGCAGCCCGTCCCTCCCTTCCCTCTCCCTCTCTCCCTGCAGCACTTGTTACTGTGGGTGGGGGGGGGGGGGGGGGGGGAGAGAGGTTAAGGGGGGATGAGAGAGGTTAAGGGGGTGGAAAGAAAGAGAGAGAGAGAGAGAGAGAGAGAGAGAGAGAGAGAGAGAGAGAGAGAGAGAGAGAGAGAGAGAGAGAGAGAGAGAGAGAGAGAGAGAGAGAGAGAGAGAGATTCTTCTGTCGTGTCGTTTCTCGTTAAGTTCCCCTCGTCGCGCTCACCGGACATCCACCGTACCCGGCGGTGGAAACCGCAGGCGGGCATTCCACCCAGGGGCTATTTTTGGTCTTAGCACAACCTTAAGTATCAGGGTGCCCAAGTGACATCACCCTGACTGCTAGGATGGTATTTCCTCCACCCTGTCCACACAAGGTTAATTTTTTTCGCACACTGATTGTGTAAGGGTGATTTCTAGAAATTTGCCGAAGTACCTTGTTTATGGTGTAGTGTAGCGTGCACTGTTTCGTCTTCGTCATCCTCGTCTCGAATTCTACACGTGAGTTTTCGAGTTCTCGAGTTCTACACGTGATGTGACTCACATCACAGGTGTGTGTGGAACAGAGGTGAATGACCTGAGATGAAAGAAGCATACGAAGTCCCTCACAATGCAACACAGATGGCGTGCATGAGGCAGGAGGAGCCACAGGCAGGCAGGCACGTCCAAGTGCAACAAGACAACTAAGTGCTAGCAGCCAGAGCTGCCACCAGTTCGAATGGGAAAGCCAGCAAGAAAAAACAAAACCGTCCACCTTGAGAGCACAGGTGGTCAGTGGGCGGAATGCTTTGTTATGAGTATAGTTACGCACGTAACTACAGAACAAAGATTCGGCAAAAGGGTACTCTTCAACCAGCACTGACTGGAACGTGTAACAAAACACCAACCCTGACTAACACAGGGTGTAAAAATTGCTACACTTTTTGGGAAAGGGTTGCAAAACAGCTGGCCCTACAAAATCAGGGTAAAAAAAAAAAAAAAAAAAAAACGGCTTTCAGAAAGGGGAATCAGGGCAAATCACCCTTGAAAAGATGCCCCTGATTCCACCGTACCAGGCGGTGGGCCCAACTACCGTATCGCCCCGGATAAAAGCGCAGGCCTATGATAAGCGCATGCGCTTCTATCTGGAGCAATGCGCTTATGGCCGATCCTCAATTATAAGCGCACCCCCTGTAAAACCCTGACTTATTATAAGCGCATGTATAATATTAAAATTTGAATTTGCTTGAAACGGTAACGAAATTCCAATTTGCAGCGAGGTCACCCCAATCCCGGTTCGATTGACTCGCGAGGACCATCCTGCGCGTCCAGTCAGTATGAGCTGGAATTCCGGCGCAATGACGTGTAACTGCCCCTGTGTGCCCGCAGAAATTCGCCCGCGTGCGATTCTGGATTGTGACCCCCTATCATTGCGCTTCGATTGAATTTGCAATAAGGGGATGTACAATCTGGTGCAGTAAGAATATAAATTTGTATTTGTCATTTTATAAGCACATGCGCTTATATTTTTTACTCAATTATAAGCGCACCCCCCTAAAAAACACTGATTTATTATAAGCGCACCTGCGCTTTAATCCGGGGTAATACGGTACTGCTCGGCGGGCATTCCACCGTACCCGGCGGTGGGCCCAGCTGCTGCATGGTGATTGATGCGCTGAGGGTTGAGCGCCCCTACACCAGCTTTGACATGTATGCAGTTAAGGGGGGATGTCAGAAATTGTATTTCTGACACCTGCCAATGAACGCATCCAAACCAAAGGCTACGCGCTTGGGATTCTTCCTTCTGTTGTTGACGATAAGAACCATCTGTTTTTGCTCAAGTGTTTTGCTACTCTAGCGACTGCTCTATGCCGTCGTGAATCACAAAACTCTATGTGAACATTCAACACTATCAGTGGAAAGAGGAGTTGCACGAATCTTCACACTGGAGCATGTGTCAGCGACTCAGCGCTAGTCCAGGTCCTCGTCATCGGACTCGTGGAACAGCGTGGTGGGCTGCGTGGCAGCATATGCAGGGGCAATGATCTGCGGGTCCTTAGCCGCCACGTCGGCGTACTTGAGAATGGCCTCGCGCGGGTCCTCCTCCATCCACGTCTCCTTCAGCAGCCCGCCGTCCTGCCCATGCACCGCACACACACGAGGGAAAGGTTCAAAAGGGGCGAGTGGTTGGGGAGATGGGGAGGGATCGGGAAGGGGAGAGGAAGAAGAGACGAATTGGTCCCTTACGACTGGTTCTCAGGCTCTTAATCCCAACTACTGCCAGAATCCATTGACATGTTCTCAGCATGTCCAACAAAAACTGCCGCGGCAGCAGGAAGCACGCAGGCAGGCAGGCAGGCGGCAGGCGGCAGGCGGCAGGGGGCAGGGGGCAGGGGGCAGCACGCACGCGGAGCAGGTACTGGGTGAGCAGGGTGCCCTTGGTCTGCCCCACACGCCCGCCGTGCCCCGGCCCCTCCATGGGCAGGTCGGGCCGCTGGCTCTGCACGGGGTCTTTTCGCGCCTTCTCGCGCTGCCGCTTGCGGCTCGGCTCGTCGCGAAACATGGGCAGCGCGTGCGGGTTGCGGATGGCGGGCGCTGCCACGCGCGCACACAGGTCCTCGGGGCGCGACGCGCGGGGGGCCCGCGCCACGCACACTAGCGCGCCGCGCTCGCTGAGCGTGGGGTCGTAAAGGATGTGCGTGCCGCCCGCCTTCTTGTCGCCACATGTGGCGAATATCTGGTGGAGATCGGGCAAGGGTGGGGTTTCGTTTCGTGTGGGAAAGTGGCAGATGAAAACGGATGTGCGTGAGATGGGGGTTGGGGCTGCACATGGGTTCTACCTGGCAGATGTTGGCTGTTCTGGTGAGAAACTAATGGGGAGACGGACCTGATGGAAAGGAAAGAGATGAACACATGAGAGAGCTGACAGTGTGGTAGGAAGCAGTGGGGATCTGATTGAGGTGGGAAAGAAGCAGCACCCACCTGGTTAAGGTGTGCGTGCCACAGCACGCGCACAACGCTCTGGTCGGGCGACACGCCCGTGACACGCACGAGGTCCAGCGACTCCTTGGAGTAGAAGTGCAGCTGCATGAGGTGACGCCACATGTCAGGGCAGGGCACGTAGGATGTGGGTGGTGCGGGGGGTGGGAAGAACAATAAGGCAGCGTTGCGAAATTGGCAATAAATGCCTACAAGGACTTTGAATGCCATATAAGCTAGCTGTCCTGAGGTTGGTTTCAGTTGAGAATCAGTTCCATAGGTTTCGTACCCCAAAAAGACTTTGATACAAAGTACAAGTCTTTACGTGTTGACCAATGTGACAGAGCCTGGTTCAAGGGTTGCCTTGTGACAGAGCCTGGTTCAAGGGTTGCCTTGTGACAGAGCCTGGTTCAAGGGTTGCCTTGTGACAGAGCCTGGTTCAAGGGTTGCCTTGTGAAAGAGCCTGGTTCAAGGGTTGCCTTGTGGCAGAGCCTGGTTCAAGGGTTGCCTTGTGGCAGAGCCTGGTTCAAGGGTTGCCTTGTGACAGAGCCTGGTTCAAGGGTTGCCTTGTGACAGAGCCTGGTTCAAGGGTTGCCTTGTGGCAGAGCCTGGTTCAAGGGTTGCCTTGTGACAATCCTCAGCAGCTGAACCATGCACCCGCTTTGAGCGGACCAAGACGAGTGCGAGGAGGATGGTAAGCAATGCGAGGAAATCCATCCCCCACAACATGCACGCGCCCAACCAAGCTGAAGGAGGTAGGCGAGCAGGTAGCGCAGGGAAACAGGACAGTGCTTGAAGGAGGGCAGGGTGAGCGGTGGAGACGAGAGTACCAGAGGTGTAAGGCGCCCTCTCACCTCACTCTCTCCATTCCTGCAGATTCTTCTCTGCCTGCTCGTACTCACCATGCACCACCCCAGCGTGCGTACCAATCAGAAAACTTCTGCATGGCCTCGTGCTGCTCTTCACGTCCCCCACTCCTCCTTGTTCAGTGTTCCTCATCTCTCCCCCTCTATTGTACCCTGACTCCGTCATGCTATCCTGCACGAACTTTCCTGTCACCTTCCTTTCGTTCAGCTTCTCTTCTCTACCCCCCCTGCGCTCATCCTCTCCCCCCTGCCCCACCTGCCCGCCGCGGCCGCCTTTCTCAGCGGAGGAGCCGGTGAAGAAGAGGCGCTCGTCGGGGCTCCACGCCACGTTGGTCTGCTGGTAGTGGTTCGGCAGGTCCGAGAACACCTTCACGGGCTGCTTGAACTTGCGCACGTCCCACACCTGCAGATGAGGGGACGGGGGTGTTGACAGCAGGGGGATGGTAGAAGAAGGGGAAACGGGGAAAAGAAAGGGATCAATAAGGTACAATGGGGATCCGGAAAAAGGGACAAGGGACAAGGAGAACAAGAGATTGGTACGATATGATGGTGGGGGGGGGGATAAGAGGGGGGGAGGGGGGAAATAAGGGGGGTTAAGGAAGAGGGGGGATGATGACATACGTTCAGGGTGGGCAGAATAATTGAAGTGAATACGGGATGCGGGAGATATGGGATGCGGGAGATATGGGATGCGGGAGATATGGGATGCGGGAGATATGGGATGCGGGAGATATGGGATGCGGGAGATATGGGATGCGGGAGATATGGGATGCGGGAGATATGGGATGCGGGAGATATGGGATACGGGACATATGGGATGCGGGAGATATGGGATGCGGGAGATATGGGATGCGGGAGATATGGGATGCGGGAGATATGGGATGCGGGAGATATGGGATGCGGGAGATATGGGATGCGGGAGATATGGGATGCGAGAGATATGGGATGCGGGAGATATGGGATGCGGGAGATATGGGATGCGGGAGATATGGGATGCGGGAGATATGGGATGCGGGAGATATGGGATGCGGGAGATATGGGATGCGGGAGATATGGGATGCGGGAGATATGGGATGCGGGCGATATGGGATACGGGAGATATGGGATGCGGGAGATATGGGATGCGGGAGATATGGGATGCGGGAGATATGGGATGCGGGAGATATGGGATGCGGGAGATATGGAATGCGGGAGATATGGGATGCGGGAGATATGGGATGCGGGAGATATGGGATGCGGGAGATATGGGATGCCGGAGATATGGGATGCGGGATATATGGGATGCGGGAGATATGGGATGCGGGAGATATGGGATGCGGGAGATATGGGATGCGGGAGATATGGGATGCGGGAGATATGGGATGCGGGAGATATGGGATGCGGGAGATATGGGATGCGGGAGATATGGGATGCGGGAGATATGGAATGCGGGAGATATGGGATGCGGGAGATATGGGATGCGGGAGATATGGGATGCGGGAGATATGGGATGCGGGAGATATGGGATGCGGGAGATATGGGATACGGGAGATATGGGATGCGGGAGATATGGGATGCGGGAGATATGGGATGCGGGAGATATGGGATGCGGGAGATATGGGATGCGGGAGATATGGGATGCGGGAGATATGGGATGCGAGAGATATGGGATGCGGGAGATATGGGATGCGGGAGATATGGGATGCGGGAGATATGGGATGCGGGAGATATGGGATGCGGGAGATATGGGATGCGGGAGATATGGGATGCGGGAGATATGGGATGCGGGAGATATGGGATGCGGGAGATATGGGATGCGGGAGATATGGGATGCGGGAGATATGGGATGCGGGAGATATGGAATGCGGGAGATATGGGATGCGGGAGATGATGCGGGAGATATGGGATGCGGGAGATATGGGATGCGGGAGATATGGGATGCGGGAGATATGGGATGCGGGAGATATGGGATGCGGGAGATATGGGATGCGGGAGATATGGGATGCGGGAGATATGGGATGCGGGAGATATGGGATGCGGGAGATATGGGATGCGGGAGATATGGGATGCGGGAGATATGGGATGCGGGAGATATGGGATGCGGGAGATATGGGATGCGGGAGATATGGGATGCGAGAGATATGGGATGCGGGAGATATGGGATGCGGGAGATATGGGATGCGGGAGATATGGAATGCGGGAGATATGGGATGCGGGAGATATGGGATGCGGGAGATATGGGATGCGGGAGATATGGGATGCGGGAGATATGGAATGCGGGAGATATGGGATGCGGGAGATATGGGATGCGGGAGAAATGGGATGCGGGAGATATGGGATGCGGGAGATATGGGATGCGGGAGATATGGGATGCGGGAGATATGGGATGCGGGAGATATGGGATGCGGGAGATATGGGATGCGGGAGATATGGGATGCGGGAGATATGGGATGCGGGAGATATGGGATGCGGGAGATATGGGATGCGGGAGATATGGGATGCGGGAGATATGGGATGCGGGAGATATGGGATGCGGGAGATATGGGATGCGGGAGATATGGGATGCGGGAGATATGGGATGCGGGAGATATGGGATGCGGGAGATATGGAATGCGGGAGATATGGGATGCGGGAGATATGGGATGCGGGAGATATGGGATGCGGGAGATATGGGATGCGGGAGATATGGGATGCGGGAGATATGGGATACGGGAGATATGGGATGCGGGAGATATGGGATGCGGGAGATATGGGATGCGGGAGATATGGGATGCGGGAGATATGGGATGCGGGAGATATGGGATGCGGGAGATATGGGATGCGGGAGATATGGGATGCGGGAGATATGGGATGCGGGAGATATGGGATGCGGGAGATATGGGATGCGGGAGATATGGGATGCGGGAGATATGGATGCGGGAGATATGGGATGCGGGAGATATGGGATGCGGGAGATATGGGATGCGGGAGATATGGATGCGGGAGATATGGGATGCGGGAGATATGGGATGCGGGAGATATGGGATGCGGGAGATATGGGATGCGGGAGATATGGGATGCGGGAGATATGGGATGCGGGAGATATGGGATGCGGGAGATATGGGATGCGGGAGATATGGGATGCGGGAGATATGGGATGCGGGAGATATGGGATGCGGGAGATATGGGATGCGGGAGATATGGGATGCGGAGATATGGGATGCGGGAGATATGGGATGCGGGAGATATGGGATGCGGGAGATATGGGATGCGGGAGATATGGGATGCGGGAGATATGGGATACGGGAGATATGGGATGCGGGAGATATGGGATGCGGGAGATATGGGATGCGGGAGATATGGGATGCGGGAGATATGGGATGCGGGAGATATGGGATGCGGGAGATATGATGCGGGAGATATGGGATGCGGGAGATGATGCGGGAGATATGGGATGCGGGAGATATGGGATGCGGGAGATATGGGATGCGGGAGATATGGGATGCGGGAGATATGGGATGCGGGAGATATGGGATGCGGGAGATATGGGATGCGGGAGATATGGGATGCGGGAGATATGGGATGCGGGAGATATGGGATGCGGGAGATATGGGATGCGGGAGATATGGGATGCGGGAGATATGGGATGCGGGAGATATGGGATGCGGGAGATATGGGATGCGGGAGATATGGGATGCGGGAGATATGGGATGCGGGAGATATGGGATGCGGGAGATATGGGATGCGGGAGATATGGGATGCGGGAGATATGGGATGCGGGAGATATGGGATGCGGGAGATATGGGATGCGGGAGATATGGGATGCGGGAGATATGGGATGCGGGAGATATGGGATGCGGGAGATATGGGATGCGGGAGATATGGGATGCGGGAGATATGGGATGCGGGAGATATGGGATGCGGGAGATATGGGATGCGGGAGATATGGGATGCGGGAGATATGGGATGCGGGAGATATGGGATGCGGGAGATATGGGATGCGGGAGATATGGGATGCGGGAGATATGGGATGCGGGAGATATGGGATGCGGGAGATATGGGATGCGGGAGATATGGGATGCGGGAGATATGGGATGCGAGAGATATGGGATGCGGAGATATGGGATGCGGGAGATATGGGATGCGGGAGATATGGGATGCGGGAGATATGGGATGCGGGAGATATGGGATGCGGGAGATATGGGATGCGGGAGATATGGGATGCGGGAGATATGGGATGCGGGAGATATGGGATGCGGGAGATATGGGATGCGGGAGATATGGGATGCGGGAGATATGGGATGCGGGAGATATGGGATGCGGGAGATATGGGATGCGGGAGATATGGGATGCGGGAGATATGGGATGCGGGAGATATGGGATGCGGGAGATATGGGATGCGGGAGATATGGGATGCGGGAGATATGGGATGCGGGAGATATGGGATGCGGGAGATATGGGATGCGGGAGATATGGGATGCGGGAGATATGGGATGCGGGAGATATGGGATGCGGGAGATATGGGATGCGGGAGATATGGGATGCGGGAGATATGGGATGCGGGAGATATGGGATGCGGGAGATATGGGATGCGGGAGATATGGGATGCGGGAGATATGGGATGCGGGAGATATGGGATGCGGGAGATATGGGATGCGGGAGATATGGGATGCGGGAGATATGGGATGCGGGAGATATGGGATGCGGGAGATATGGGATGCGGGAGATATGGGATGCGGGAGATATGGGATGCGGGAGATATGGGATGCGGGAGATATGGGATGCGGGAGATATGGGATGCGGGAGATATGATGCGGGAGATATGGGATGCGGGAGATGATGCGGGAGATATGGGATGCGGGAGATATGGGATGCGGGAGATATGGGATGCGGGAGATATGGGATGCGGGAGATATGGGATGCGGGAGATATGGGATGCGGGAGATATGGGATGCGGGAGATATGGGATGCGGGAGATATGGGATGCGGGAGATATGGGATGCGGGAGATATGGGATGCGGGAGATATGGGATGCGGGAGATATGGGATGCGGGAGATATGGGATGCGGGAGATATGGGATGCGGGAGATATGGGATGCGGGAGATATGGGATGCGGGAGATCTGGGATGCGGGAGATATGGGATGCGGGAGATATGGGATGCGGGAGATATGGGATGCGGGAGATATGGGATGCGGGAGATATGGGATGCGGGAGATATGGGATGCGGGAGATATGGGATGCGGGAGATATGGGATGCGGGAGATATGGGATGCGGGAGATATGGGATGCGGGAGATATGGGATGCGGGAGATATGGGATGCGGGAGATATGGGATGCGGGAGATATGGGATGCGGGAGATATGGGATGCGGGAGATATGGGATGCGGGAGATATGGGATGCGGGAGATATGGGATGCGGGAGATATGGGATGCGGGAGATATGGGATGCGAGAGATATGGGATGCGAGAGATATGGGATGCGGGAGATATGGGATGCGGGAGATATGGGATGCGGGAGATATGGGATGCGGGAGATATGGGATGCGGGAGATATGGGATGCGGGAGATATGGGATGCGGGAGATATGGGATGCGGGAGATATGGGATGCGGGAGATATGGGATGCGGGAGATATGGGATGCGGGAGATATGGGATGCGGGAGATATGGGATGCGGGAGATATGGGATGCGGGAGATATGGGATGCGGGAGATATGGGATGCGGGAGATATGGGATGCGGGAGATATGGGATGCGGGAGATATGGGATGCGGGAGATATGGGATGCGGGAGATATGGGATGCGGGAGATATGGGATGCGGGAGATATGGGATGCGGGAGATATGGGATGCGGGAGATATGGGATGCGGGAGATATGGGATGCGGGAGATATGGGATGCGGGAGATATGGGATGCGGGAGATATGGGATGCGGGAGATATGGGATGCGGGAGATATGGGATGCGGGAGATATGGGATGCGGGAGATATGGGATGCGGGAGATATGGGATGCGGGAGATATGGGATGCGGGAGATATGGGATGCGGGAGGGGATGCGGGAGATATGGGATGCGGGAGATATGGGATGCGGGAGATATGGGATGCGGGAGATATGGGATGCGGGAGATATGGGATGCGGGAGATATGGGATGCGGGAGATATGGGATGCGGGAGATATGGGATGCGGGAGATATGGGATGCGGGAGATATGGGATGCGGGAGATATGGGATGCGGGAGATATGGGATGCGGGAGATATGGGATGCGGGAGATATGGGATGCGGGAGATATGGGATGCGGGAGATATGGGATGCGGGAGATATGGGATGCGGGAGATATGGGATGCGGGAGATATGGGATGCGGGAGATATGGGATGCGGGAGATATGGGATGCGGGAGATATGGGATGCGGGAGATATGGGATGCGGGAGATATGGGATGCGGGAGATATGGGATGCGGGAGATATGGGATGCGGGAGATATGGGATGCGGGAGATATGGGATGCGGGAGATATGGGATGCGGGAGATATGGGATGCGGGAGATATGGGATGCGGGAGATATGGGATGCGGGAGATATGGGATGCGGGAGATATGGGATGCGGGAGATATGGGATGCGGGAGATATGGGATGCGGGAGATATGGGATGCGGGAGATATGGGATGCGGGAGATATGGGATGCGGGAGATATGGGATGCGGGAGATATGGGATGCGGGAGATATGGGATGCGGGAGATATGGGATGCGGGAGATATGGGATGCGGGAGATATGGGATGCGGGAGATATGGGATGCGGGAGATATGGGATGCGGGAGATATGGGATGCGGGAGATATGGGATGCGGGAGATATGGGATGCGGGAGATATGGGATGCGGGAGATATGGGATGCGGGAGATATGGGATGCGGGAGATATGGGATGCGGGAGATATGGGATGCGGGAGATATGGGATGCGGGAGATATGGGATGCGGGAGATATGGGATGCGGGAGATATGGGATGCGGGAGATATGGGATGCGGGAGATATGGGATGCGGGAGATATGGGATGCGGGAGGATATGGGATGCGGGAGATATGGGATGCGGGAGATATGGGATGCGGGAGATATGGGATGCGGGAGATATGGGATGCGGGAGATATGGGATGCGGGAGATATGGGATGCGGGAGATATGGGATGCGGGAGATATGGGATGCGGGAGATATGGGATGCGGGAGATATGGGATGCGGGAGATATGGGATGCGGGAGATATGGGATGCGGGAGATATGGGATGCGGGAGATATGGGATGCGGGAGATATGGGATGCGGGAGATATGGGATGCGGGAGATATATGGGATGCGGGAGATATGGGATGCGGGAGATATGGGATGCGGGAGATATGGGATGCGGGAGATATGGGATGCGGGAGATATGGGATGCGGGAGATATGGGATGCGGGAGATATGGGATGCGGGAGATATGGGATGCGGGAGATATGGGATGCGGGAGATATGGGATGCGGGAGATATGGATGCGGGAGATATGGGATGCGGGAGATATGGGATGCGGGAGATATGGGATGCGGGAGATATGGGATGCGGGAGATATGGGATGCGGGAGATATGGGATGCGGGAGATATGGGATGCGGGAGATATGGGATGCGGGAGATATGGGATGCGGGAGATATGGGATGCGGGAGATATGGGATGCGGGAGATATGGGATGCGGGAGATATGGGATGCGGGAGATATGGGATGCGGGAGATATGGGATGCGGGAGATATGGGATGCGGGAGATATGGGATGCGGGAGATATGGGATGCGGGAGATATGGGATGCGGGAGATATGGGATGCGGGAGATATGGGATGCGGGAGATATGGGATGCGGGAGATATGGAATGCGGGAGATATGGGATGCGGGAGATATGGGATGCGGGAGATATGGGATGCGGGAGATATGGAATGCGGGAATTAGAGGATGCGGAATGAAAAGGGATGGGAATGGGGAAGAGACGGAAAAGGAAAGGAGGGATGGGGAAGTGAAGGAGAGAAGAAGAATTGGAGTGTTGACAGTGATTGGGGTGCTCCTCCTCAGTGATTGGGGTGCTCCCTCACAGGCGATGGTGAGAGAAAGAGACTAGGAGTGCTCGGGAGTAGCTCGCTAAAGGCAGAGCAGGAGAATGGGATCTGAAGGTGTTTCCAGCATGCAGCGGTGGGAGGGGCAGTACACAGTGTGGAGCTGGCTGGATGCACACTCACACCACCCGCCTCCACCCTCAACTCACGCCACCCGCCTCCACCCTCAACTCACGCGGCGCCACCCACCTCCACCCTCGACTCCTTCCTTCCATGCATGCATGCGTGCAGCGCACTCGTCACCTTCATGGTGCCATCCACGTCACCTTCATGGTGCCATCCACGTCACCTTCATGGTGCCATCCATGGAGCGAGAGACGAGCAGGGAGGCATCGGAGCAGAAGGAGACGCCCGTGATGTCGTCGCCCCTCTCATGTGCATCGGTACACAGCAGGTCCGGCAGCGATCCCCACCCTGACTTCACATTCCACACCTGCCACACATGGGGGGTTGACCAAGGGCAGTGAGAGGAGCAGTGGCGGAGGAAGAGTGGGGGTACGGAGGGTTCTGCGCTGTGGGGCACAGATAGAGGCAGCAGCACGGCACACACGCGTGTGAGCAAGACATGCGAGGTACAAACAAAAGGTGGACGTGATGCCATGGCAGGTGGACGTGATGCCATGGCAGGTGGACGTGATGCCATGGCAGGTGGACGTGATGCCATGGCAGGTGGACGTGATGCCATGGCAGGTGGACGTGATGCCATGGCAGGTGGACGTGATGCCATGGCAGGTGGACGTGATGCCATGGCAGGTGGACGTGATGCCATGGCAGGTGGACGTGATGCCATGGCAGGTGGACGTGATGCCATGGCAGGTGGACGTGATGCCATGGCAGGTGGACGTGATGCCATGGCAGGTGGACGTGATGCCATGGCAGGTGGACGTGATGCCATGGCAGGTGGACGTGATGCCATGGCAGGTGGACGTGATGCCATGGCAGGTGGACGTCATGCCATGGCAGGTGCAGAGGTATCTCCACCATGTTGACGCCATGTGTTGTCGTTAATGCCGCGCCAGCTAAGGCAACGCCACTACCATACACGCCTCACATGCCCCGTTTTTCTCTCCACACCACACCACACCACACCACACCACACCACACACCACACCACACCACACCACACCACACCACACACCACACCACACCACACCGCACCACACCACACCACACACGACACCTTGCCACGCCCCTCCACGCCACGCCCCGTTACGCCCTGCCCTGCCACGCCACGCCATGGCCATCCCGTACCTGCAGCGAGCCATCGTTGAGGCCAGCAGCCACGAGGCGGCCATCAGGCCCCCACTCCGCTGCTGTCACCGGCACCCTCCCCGGCCGCGCCAGCTTCGGCTTCACCACCTGCCAGGGGGTAAGACACGGCAGCGAGGAGCCCGAGAAAATTAAGTTTGCCCACGGTGGGATTCTCAAGCTGCGTGGCCAACGGTTTGGGCAAGAGGAGCGAATCCAATCACAAGCACACGGTACACACACGGGGGAGGTAGCTTGAGCGCACATGGAGGAGGTAGCTTGAGGGCACACGGAGGAGGTAGCTTGAGCGCACACGGAGGAGGTAGCTTGAGCGCACCTTCTTCTGCGACTTGAAGTCTCGCACATCCCAGATGCGCAACGAGCCGTCATCGGATGCGGTTAGCGCTGTGTGGCGCTCGCACGGGTGCCACTGCGCGGTGGTGAGCCCCGCGATGTGCCCCTTGGTGTTGCGCAGGTCGCGGATATACATGTCCCCCCGCACGAACTCGCCCTTGCTGCGCCCATCCCTGTCGTACACCTGCCATGCCATCGCGCCGCATAGCATCGCACCACATGGCCAGGGGCGAGGGGGAAGATGGCGCAAGCGGCAGGGCGGTTGTCGGCGGGAGATTCTGCAGAATTCTAAAAGATTCTCACGAGAAAGAGCAACGGACGGAAAGATCTGGTGAGAAGGGAAGGGAGTGGCAGCAAGAGCACAACATTCACTTCACTTGGCCCTGGTCAGAGTAGACAACTGTTGTGACGCAAGGAAGAGGGGAGAAGAGAGGGAGGGTGACCCCAGGGCGCACCGCACCTTAGCCTGGGCGTTGCCAGTGGCGGTGATGAAGAGGTCAGCGGAGGGGCTGAAGGACACGGCGCGCACTTGGTGGCCGTCAAAGGGCACGAGGTCGCGAAAGGCTTTGAGGCGCGAGTCCATGCCGTGGAAGTCGTAGAAGCGCAGCGAGTAGTCGTAGCTGCCACTGATCACCCGCGAGCCCGTTGGATCCACCGCCAGCGCCGCCACTGCCTGCAGGCCGCGGGTTGAGAGGAGCAGAGGCACGTGGTGAGCAGAGGCACGTGGTGAGCAGAGGGACGTGGTGAGCAGAGGCACGTGGTGAGCAGAGGCACGTGGTGAGCAGAGGGACGTGGTGAGCAGAGGGACGTGGTGAGCAGAGGGACGTGGTGAGCAGAGGCACGTGGTGAGCAGAGGGACGTGGTGAGCAGAGGCACGTGGTGAGCAGAGGCACGTGGTGAGCAGAGGGACAAGGTGAGCAGAGGCACGTGGTGAGCAGAGGGACGTGGTGAGCAGAGGCACGTGGTGAGCAGAGGGACGTGGTGAGCAGAGGCACGTGGTGAGCAGAGGGACGTGGTGAGCAGAGGGACGTGGTGAGCAGAGGCACGTGGTGAGCAGAGGGACGTGGTGAGCAGAGGCACGTGGTGAGCAGAGGGACGTGGTGAGCAGAGGCACGTGGTGAGCAGAGGGACGTGGTGAGCAGAGGCACGTGGTGAGCAGAGGCACGTGGTGAGCAGAGGGACGTGGTGAGCAGAGGCACGTGGTGAGCAGAGGGACGTGGTGAGCAGAGGCACGTGGTGAGCAGAGGGACGTGGTGAGCAGAGGGACGTGGTGAGCAGAGGCACGTGGTGAGCAGAGGCACGTGGTGAGCAGAGGGACGTGGTGAGCAGAGGCACGTGGTGAGCAGAGGGACGTGGTGAGCAGAGGCACGTGGTGAGCAGAGGGACGTGGTGAGCAGAGGGACGTGGTGAGCAGAGGCACGTGGTGAGCAGAGGGACGTGGTGAGCAGAGGCACGTGGTGAGCAGAGGGACGTGGTGAGCAGAGGCACGTGGTGAGCAGAGGGACGTGGTGAGCAGAGGGACGTGGTGAGCAGAGGCACGTGGTGAGCAGAGGTACGTGGTGAGCAGAGGGACGTGGTGAGCAGAGGCACGTGGTGAGCAGAGGGACGTGGTGAGCAGAGGCACGTGGTGAGCAGAGGGACGTGGTGAGCAGAGGGACGTGGTGAGCAGAGGCACGTGGTGAGCAGAGGCACGTGGTGAGCAGAGGCACGTGGTGAGCAGAGGGACGTGGTGAGCAGAGGGACGTGGTGAGCAGAGGCACGCGGTGAGCAGAGGGACGTGGTGAGCAGAGGGACGTGGTGAGCAGAGGGACGTGGTGAGCAGAGGGACGTGGTGAGCAGAGGGACGTGGTGAGCAGAGGGACGTGGTGAGCAGAGGGACGTGGTGAGCAGAGGGACGTGGTGAGCAGAGGGGCGTGGTGAGCAGAGGGACGTGGTGAGCAGAGGGGCGTGGTGAGCTTGCTGGTCGTTCACGGGTGGGGCGAATGCAGAAATGGGTGGGACAGCTGAGACGGCATGGGGAATGCTTCGCGTTGCCAAGTGTGGCTGGCGCAGTTGCCGGTGGCCTCTCCGGCTGCTACAGCCAGCGTGCCCTGCGAGCATGTCACCTTGGTGTGTCCCCTCAGCACAATCTCATTGCTCAACGGCACTCCAAACTCGTCCTCTTCCTCCTCCCCTGCCTCTGCGCCCTCCTCTTCATCATCCTCGTCACTCCCATCGCTCCTCTGCTCGTCCTGCCGCCCTGCCACACGGCTCTTCTTCCGCCCACCATGCTGCTGTCTGCTGCCAGCAGCAGCAGGGGCAGGAGGCCCAATCAGGCCGCCACCACCGTCCTCCAAGCGGCCTGGCGGGCGCGGAGGGCCGATCACCGCATGCCCCTCGCCCTCGCCCTCGCCCTCGCCCTCGCACTGCACCACCGCTGCTCCCCGTCCATCTGCTGCACCTCCATCCCTCACCGCTCGTGCCCCACCCGCCTCCCCGTGTGCCCCACCCGCCTCCCCGTGTGCCCCACCCGCCTCACCGTGTGCCCCACCCGCAGAGCCACAGGGCGCACCACCTTTCTCCCTCAAGCTACCCCTCGTCGCTTCATCTCCGCCGCACGCTCTGCTCCTCCGCCTGCCCCTCCCCTTTCCACCACACCTCTAGCGCCTGCCGCTCCTACCGCCGCTGCTCCCACCGCTGCTGTTCCCGCCAGCCCTGCCTTGGCCCCGTCGCCTAACCTCTTCGCTAGGCTCGGCCCAATGCTGAACTTCATCCCCGCAGCCTTCTTCTTCCCCTTTACCCCGGCGCGCTCCGCAGGTGCGCGCGCCGTCTGCGCGTGCACGGCCTCGAGCGGCGTGACGCGCTCCTCCTGGCGGCCGAACGACGCGGGGAAGGCGGCGCGCACCCCCAGCAGCGTTTCTCCCTCGTCGTCCGCCATCGTGGCGGCGGAGGGAGGCGGGCGGGCGGAAGGGCGGGGAGTCGGGAGGACTGTCTGCGTCACAGCTGACGTCATCCATCGGAAGTGAATGTGAGGGGGTTATCGTGTTGCGAACGAAGGTCGGGCTTTCGTTTTCTCCAAAAGTGCGGGTTGTTAGCGGGAGTAGGGTTAGACGAAGAGAATTCGAGTGTCTCAGCAATATATGATGTCAGCACTCTCTGCGTTCTACAGGGATGGTGGAGGGGTAAGTTTAGTTTCAGGTGCTTCTAAGCTGCTTTGAGCGTGGGCGCTTCGGGAATCGGCAGAATGATGGGAGGATGAGATGGCGTGAACGCTTTTAATTGGATTTGGTTTTGTTTGCGTTTCTTGAGTTTGCATCGCCCATTTCGCCCGATCAATGGTACGCGTCACCTCTATCGATTTCGAACGATCGATCTTCAAAAAACGACCGTCCACGGTACTGGAAACTTGCTTGATTTAAAGCGACGGGTCACTTTTGGCAAAGGAACAGTGCTGACGTCAGCACTGCGCGAAATTGGCTCAGTGGTGCGATACAAAAGGAGTTGAACAGGCCGTGACGAAAAAAAAACGAAATGAGTGCGAAATTCGTAGTGGGGAAGGAAGGCACACTTACCAAGGGACAAACGCGCGCAAGGGGAAGGGATTGGGGGGAGGAAATTGACATCCGCAGCGCACCAACAACAAACCACAGCCACAATTTTCACTCGACAGCAATAACCACACCACACACCACACGCCAATAGAGGCCTTTATGAGTACAATAGTCAGCGTACCACCCAAACGCTTTGTGGATACACGGGTTTAGGCTACGAAGCGCGCACTGTCTAACGGCCCTTGTCTCATAGCTTCATCCACCATGCTCGGTACACGAATTCTCTGACGAAACTAGTTTGTTACTGAATATGTAAGGCACTTGGAAATACTGGGAGTTATTTTTAGAGTGTTTGGAGAAAACGACGACGCTAATGCTTCATCTACGAATATTAGCTGGTTTTGGCTCATAGAAGCGAAGTCGCCGAAATTCAACAGGATCTGCCGTCCCCAGAAATTTCGCGGTGAATGAGGGAATGACAGAATGCATCACGCAATTTCCGCACCAATGCATCATGTGTGCTTAGACATATCATTCGAGTCCTCCCGTTAGAGCATTCCGCGTTCAGAAACATAGCATCTCGTTTCTCCCCCATCATAGCGTCCCGTTTCCCTCTCAGAATCCCGTTTCCCCCTTGTGAGGGCCCATTTCCCCATTACCGTAGCCCGTTTCCCCCATATTGCATCTCGTTCCCCCTCTAAGCACTCCGTTTCCCCCTCCTATCACTCAGATTTCCCCTCATAGCACCTCGATTTCCCCTCATAGCACCTCGATTTCCCCTCATAGCACCTCGATTTCCCCTCATAGCACTCCGATTTCCCCTCATAGCACTCCGATTTCCCCTCATAGCATTCCGTTTCCCCGCCATAGCACTCCGTTTCCCCTCATATCAACCCGTTTCCCCCTTATAGCATCCCGTTTCCCCCTTTCGCATCCCGTTTCCCCCTTATAGCATCCCGTATCCCCCTTGTAGCATCCCGTTTCCCCCTTATAGCATCCGGTTCCCCGTTTTCCCATTATGGGATCCCGTTTCCCCCTTATACCATCCCGCGTTTCCCCCCTATAGCATCCCGTTTCCTTCTTATAGGATCCCGTTTCCCCCTTATATCATCCCGTTTCCCCCTTTATAGCATCCCGTTCCCCCCTTATAGCATCCCGTTTCCCCTTTAGCATCCGTTTCCACCCTATAGCATCCCGTTTCCCCATTTCCCCCTTATAGCATCCCGTTTCCCCCTCATAGCATCCCCGTTTCCCCCTTATAGCATCCCGTTTCCCCCTTATAGCATCCCGTTTCTCCCTCATATCACTCCGTTTCCCCCCTTATAGCATCCCGTTTCCCTCCCATAGCACTCCGTTTCCCCCCCATAGCACTGCCTGCGTTGCATGCCGTGGTGTGCCCAATGGGTTGGCATGTTTAATCCGTGATATTTGGCTGGGTTACAAGCAAGTGCCATGCCTCATCGCTCACGACATTACCAGTCTTCGTTTCCCTTCACTGCCTGCCTTTCATCCTCCCAACTGCAGGTCTTCTTTCCCCCCGCCATCTGGCCTCGTTTCCCTACCCTGCCTGCCTTCACAATTCCCCCACTGCAGGCCTTCTTTCCCCCCATTACCTGTCTTCTTTCCCCCCTTGTGCATGGCCTCCATTCCCCCTAATGTCTAGCTTCCATCCCCCAAACTGCCTACCTTCCATTCCCCCCACTGCAAATCATAGTTTCCCCCGGTAGCTCGGTCTACTTCCCCCCACCGCAGGGCTTCTTCTCCCCTCTGCGTGCCCTCATTTCCCCCTTCAACCTGCCTTCCGTTCTCCCCCTTGCCTGCGGTGCTTTCCCAACTCGTTGTTTCCCAACTCTTCCTCTTTCCCACCCATTTCTCTGGCAGGTGCTCGATCTTCCTCCCACCCCCCACTCTTACTAGCACCTTCCCAGAAAACCCCCCCCCAGCAAACTCACCCATCCTCCCTCACACTACATCCGTTGCCTTCCCACCACCAGTCATCATGGCTCGAATCCAAAAGAAAAAAACAGCAGAGTCGTGGAGGAGCAAAGTGCTTGACCTTGTTGGGAGTAAGGAGAAAGGAAATTTGGCGATAGCTAATAAGATGCAGATACCCATATGCTACCTCCGTTGTGGTTTGAGCTCCCTAATGGGAGAGAAGGGAGAGTCGCCACTATCGCCGACTTGGTGTACTTCCTGCTACATGCGGGACCTGGAGCGAAGGATGCGCTCATGTCAGCAGCAAGCCAAGCCGGCCGGTGAGTGAACACACAAACATCCCGTGCGAAAGAGAGATCGTAGGAGCCCAGCGACTTATATTGGAATGGACGACACATGCGAATAGTATAATTAACGCTCCCCCATTCCGTGCAGGGGTGGACGGAGACAAGGCTGAGCCAACGGTTGCAGTTGCTGATGGGGGATTTCAGGAGCAGGTTTCAAGGAGGAAAAGATCGATCTATTGGACGACCTGAAATCATTGTGAAAGGGCAAGGGCGTTCAATCGCGGGTCTAACGTACAATTTTCCCAAGTTTGAGGAAAGGGATGGGAGTGCGCGGAAAGAGGGAGCAATATTTGACCAAGGAGGAGCTCGACGTGGGATCGCTTACACCAACCTCTACGAAAAGGTTGCAAGTCATAAGTCTGAAACGAGTCTACCGAAACAATCAACCATCTGTATCCCCATTGCTCCCGTCTCTTTCTGTTCCATAATATACGTCATCTGCCCCGCCCTCTTCTAGATTGATTTCGTTTTCTATGCTCTGACTAAAGGTTCTTCTCCCCCCCCCCCACCTCTTGCCACATTGTCTTCCATCTTTAACCCCACAATTCCTCATATACCCCCTCCCCCCTCTCTCTCCTCCCTCCCCTCCATCCTTTCCCACATATCCTTGTTCCCCCACTCTTTTTTTTCCATTCTCCCTCCACTGTTCGTTCATCCACTTCCCGGCACTACCCCCTCACTGATTTCCATATTCCCGCTCTTCTTTAGCATCAGCGGGACAGAGCATGCACTGTGAACAGTCTACACCTCATGTTGTCGAACCGATGGATGATGGCGTGCACAGGCCCGACCTTGAAACTACCATGGATGAGGAGGGCAGGAGTGTCCTGATGAAGCCCATGTGTCAATAGATATTGATGAGGCATGCAACGAGGACAAGAGATACCGTGTACAAACGAGGAAGGACGCATGGACGACATCGAGGCGAATATTACAGGGTATGTATCAGGTGACCTAGTGAATGCAACATAATCGTGGTGTACAGTGAATGATACCATGTGGCTAATAACTGTCTTGTACTGATACAATGAAACCACCCCATAAACCCATGACTGCTTTCATTCCCCCCTTCCCCTTTACCTTCCCCCCTTCCTCTTCACCTTCTCTGCATCTACACACCAGAGATCCGCAGGTTCATCGTACCCGACCGGGGGTTCCCCAAGGAGATGGCCATCTAAGCCGACATTGGACGGGTTGCGACATGTCGTGTGCCTTTTGGACCCCATCCACGTCATCAGGTTCTTTCATACCGTCTCGATTATGTGCACACTAGGGCGAGTTGTTGTGGGGTAAGATGCACTTACGGTCATGGAAGCTGATGTGGGCGACGTTAGGAGTGGTTTGGACTTGTGACCGATGTCATGGTTCCTTACCATTTTGGTCGATAAACCGCCAGGTATCACCTGGTGCGGCAAGCAAGCCAGGTCGAAAACGTATGACATTGATGCAAAGATTCCTTGCCTCTTTTGCACTTGCCGGCTTAGGCTACCAAGTGTTATCGGAGGTGGGGGGGGGAACCTTGGCGTGCCAGTCCCTTGTAAGACGACTTTTTATAAGTACATGAGTGGTCCGGGTTGGCTTGTGGGAGAAGATAGTAACGCATGCGGAAAGGTGTATGGCAAAGGTACGAGAAGTGATGATGGCCCAGAATAGACGGGATATTTGGTTATGTGTCGACTGCAGGTGGGGACAGCCACGCGAAGCTGAGTGGGGCACTGTCGCGTTCATGGGATGCTAGAACCAGGAAGATAGATTTAATCAAGGTCTGTAAGCTGAAGAATATCAGTTTTTGTGGATTTGTCGGATGTTAGCACGCAATACGAGTTCCCCAAGATGCATCGCGTTGTCCAGGTGCGACGGCAGAGAGATAGTGAGGAGGCGAACAGGGGGGACAGAGCATCACCAGGCCTGGATGGGCTAGTGGTAGGGGGGCAGGATGGTTTAGCCAGCATGGTAGAGGTACCAGTTAGTGAGGGTCGAGGACCTACTGGCAGTGGGCCAGCTAGTGATTCAGTAGACAGTGGGGTTTACGGAGGATCGGTTGCCATTGACATCTTGGAGGGGAATTTGATGGAGCCGAGCGCGGACGATGATGGGTTAGATTT